ACAGAATATATAATCAAACCTTTATTAGTAGATGATGATTAGCATTTACTCACCGGCCGTCTTTGAATGTATAAGAACTCGCAGGCTTGAGCAAGGTGTTGTTGTTGAGTCAAACACGTGGGAAGTTGGCGCCTGATACGCCAATTAAGAATCTATTGGATAAACAGGAGCAAGCTTATCGTTTTCGTGGATAATATAGGTAATTTATCTTTTTTTTTGTTGGAATTGAATATATTCTTTATTCAAGGTGCTAACCTTAATAATAAATTTGATGTATTGAAGATTCGAGATTACATCTTAAAATGCTCAAGTTCCTTTACAAGTGAATGCGTCACTATGTCTAAAGTCAGATGAAGTGTATATTGTTTTCGCAAAGATACTTTTTGAGCATGAATTCTGCAAAAGATATCATTGTTTTTAAGAAAAATTTGTGCGATTCGAGCATTGAAAGTCGGAGTTCGCGTTATTTTAAGTTTTTTTTAACCTACGAACATGTGGTTGGTGCAAGATCACTCCAAAGGTCGTACAATTAACTTCGAGTTTTATTCCGCGATTGCATTTTATCGGGTTGATCAAACTTCTACATTCTTGAAATTTTCAATACAATGTCTAAATTTTTTTTATACTAATATATTTTTTCTTAGATTATTAAAAAATATTTATAATAAAGATTTTCTGAAAATAAGATGAGCTTAACAAAAATAATTAGGGAAATTGGAATCGAATCCTTATTCGTGAAAATATTGGCATGTAAAATAGCGTAATAAAAAATTTCGCAAATATTATATGTTTTTATGCCGCAGCCACAATCTATGTATGTGAAATAATCAGCCAATCAAAATGATATTATTATCTTATACTAGCGTTAGTATTTGTCATAACGATAATCTTGCAGTGTAACCACCACAAGTAAATGTAACTTTCATCTTAATAGATAATACACACGGTTTTTTGTCAAAAGTCAAATTGAAACCATTTGTCTATGATAGTTTGAATATCTTTCTTCATATTTTTTTCTAAAAGTGCCCATAGAATTCAACATACATGTCAATATTAAAAGACGGGGCTAACCAGCAACATAAAAAGGATTTTAAGATTACCCAGCAAATCTATAACAATTACAACATATATTACAAAATAGCATCCTTCCTTTTGCTTTTTTCGTTAATTCTTTATAAATTCTACTCATTTAATTTATCAAATTCAACAACGGCACCTTGTGTAATTGAGACCAAGCCACGGGAAAACCCGCTTGTTGTCTGGGTTAAACACCCACAGCACTCGGATGCTGTGAAAGTTTACGTCCCGCAAAACGCTGACGTGCACGACGTAAAAAAGTATGTACGCCAAGAACTCGCACCTGCACTTGACAAGGAAGGCTTGGGCAAGGTGTTGTTGTTGAGTCAAACACGTGGAAAGTTGGCTCCTGATACTCCAATTAAGAATATATTGGATAAACAGGAGCAGCTTATCGTTTTCGTGGATAATATAGGTAAATTTTTTTTTTTTGGTATCTTTGTGAGAATTGAATGTATTCTTCATTCAAACCCTAATAATAAATTTGATGTATTAAAGATTCGAGATTACATCTTAAAATGCTCACCACCGAGCAAGTTCCTTTACAAGTGAATGCGCCACTATGTCTAAAGTCAGATGAAGCGTATATTGTTCTCGCAAAGATACTTTTGAGTATGAATTCTGCAAAAGATATCATTGCTTTTAAGGAAAGTTTGTGCGATTCGAGCATTGAAAGTTGGAGTTCGCGTTATTCTTATACATTCAAAGACGGCCGGTGAGTAAATGCTAATCATCATCTACTAATAAAGGTTTGATTATATATTCTGT